CTCCCATGTGGGTCAAGCTGCATAACCACCTGGCTCCAAACTCTTTCCGTAGCCAGGGTGAGGCTGCTCTAGCTTCACCCTGCTCACCTTCCAGCACACACTCCAACATTTTAAAGATTAAAGATTAATGTATACCTCAAAGAATTAAGAGCAGGGACCTGAATAGATATTTGTACACCAATACTGATAGCAGCATTATTTTCAGTAGTCAACAAGTGGAAACAATCCATGTGTCCATCCATGGATAAGTGAATACACCAAATGTGATGCGTACATACAATGGGATATTATTCAGTCTTAAAACGGAAGGAAATTCTGATACAAGCTATGAAATGGGTAAACTCTGAGGACATTATGCTCAGTGCAAGAAGCCAGGCACAAAAGGACAAATACTGTATGATTCCACTTATATGAGGGCCCTAAAGTAGTCTAAATCACATAGAGAGAAGGCAGAATGGTGGCTGTCAGGAGCTAAAAGAATAGGGGGTTAGGATTTGATGGGTAGGGTTTCCATTTTGCAAGATAAAGAGTCCCATGGAGGGACCAGCAGTTAGAGTAATGGCTATGTCGCTGGACCGCAGTTCGAGTCCCAGACCCGGTGGCTTAAACTCATTCTGGGCATATGTGCGTATGTGCCCAAGATCCCAAGAGGAGGATGGAGCCAGGTGGAGAAGGGATTGTGGCATGGCTATCCCCACTGGGGGGTGATTTCTCGCTTTCTGACTCTCTGTCTCTGTCTTTTTGGCGAGTGCACGTGCCCTATAGCAGAAAAACCTCTCTAAAAATAAATAAGAGTCCCATGGATGGAGAACAGTTACAAGAGCACACCCAGGTGGACTATACACAAAGCCACGGGACTACACAGTTAAACTGGTTAAGATGATACATTTTATGTGTATTTTACTACAACTTTTTAATATGCATAATCTTGAATTTGAGAATTTCAGTTTAAGAAAAGTAAATGTAGAAAGAGCAGTGCAGCCTTTGCAACTGTTAACCAATGACGGAAACAACCATGCACATGATGTTAGATAAAAAATGCAACACAGAGATTATATGTGGCATATTTCAGCTATAGTGAGATAAAAAATGTCCATATCTATGAATATATCTGTGGTCACAGGAATAAGAGTGGAAGGAAACAAACAAATGTGAATACTGGCTGGGGTTTGAAGGGTGGGCTTCTTTTCATCTTTACCTTCTTCACATTTTCCAAATTTTACATAATGAGCATACATCATCCTGATAATGGAGTGAAAAGCCAGGGGAAAGTATAAAACTAAACCCAAAAAATGCAAAGGAAAAATGAATATGTATTCTCTCTCCAGATAGTGGAGGGTTCTCCATGTTTAATAGGAAAACAGGAAAAAAAAAAAAGTCACACAGGAAAAGATTAATTTGTTTGATTACTTTAAAAAGTGAAACCCATAACCAAAATTTAAAGGCAAATTTACACTACTGGAAATTCAAATGCTCAGCAATAATACAGAGAATGATGATCGAGGTCAATGATAACCAAAAAATTATAAGTTAAAACAGGATACCAGGACCAGCAGATGGTGTGATGGTAAACACAAAATTCTTCAGCCAAGTTCATGTCATCCCATGATACAGCTTAGAGAGTCACAAACACCTCAGCCTCTTGGAGGTGGGTGTGTGTGTGTTGGGTTCTGAAGAATGGTAATGAATGTATAGGTGAAGAGGGGGGGTGGTACAATCTAGGAATGGGCAAAAAGGCAGGGATTGGCAAAGGAGAGTCAGGGACCAGTAGGCAAACTGGTCAGCCAAGGAAAGGGGCATTATGGAGTCAGGGAAGACTCTGACTGCTCAGCGGAGGTCTGTGTAGACCCAGTAGTAGGCACTGTCGGTGTTCTCAAAGGGCAGGATCAAAGAGGGATTTCAGGAAGACACATGGATTCCTTTAGGGGCAGGGGAGGAAAAAGGAAGGGAAGGTAAACTGGTAAGGAAGGAGGGAAAAGGACTGAGGCAATGGCAATGGCAGTGGAGAGGAAGAGGCCAATTGTCATAGTGAACTCCCTACTCCACACTTCAACCATCCAGACTTTGCTTACCTCTGTGCAAGTCTTTAGGGCAAATACAGGGTAGAGAAATAACTTATAAGAGGCCAACAGCCAGCAGATTTGGTTCAACCTCAGAGATAATCTGGGGCAGCTCTGTCCAATAAAGCTTTCTGCTATGATGCAAATGTTCTAGATCTGTGGCTACTGAACACTTGAAATATGGTGAGCATGATGAGAATCTTTTTTTAAAATTTTTATTTTAGTTAATTATTTTTTTATTGCCAGAGGGTACAGGCACTTGCCAGAGAGAGAGGGAGAGGAAAAAAGCACCCGCGTAAGGGTGTGGTCACATGCAGTCCTTATTCCTCCATTTCTCCAGTGTTGGGATTTGGGGCACTTGAGCACACTCGCCCAGTGTTTTTCAAGCTGCTGAGACTGGGATTCAAAGTGTGGTTGACCATGTGGAATCTCGCTCCCTTCATCACTAGGCTATGGGGCTAGCCTGAATTAATTTAAATATTTTTTAATGCCAGAGAGTATGTGCACTTGAGAGAAAGGGAGAGAGAAAGCACCCCCCACCCCCCAATGGAACCTGGTCATGCCACAATCTTTTTTCCTCTATTTCTCCATCCCAACAGGATTTGGAGCATATACATTTGTTTTTCAAGCTGCTATGGCCAGGATTCAAACCACAGTTGACCATGTGGGACCTGGCTCTCTATGTACAGGGCTTAATTGGTGAGTGATGGGCCAGCATTTAATTTAAATTTAAATAGCCACTTGTGGCTCATGGCTACTGAGTACACAGCAAAGACCCAGGGCAGTAGTTCTCGAAGTGTGGACTTAGGACAAACAGCACCTTATAAGCAGCACAAATCTCAGGCCCTGCACCAGATCTGCTGATCCAAACCTCTACAGGCAGATCCCAGCACTGGGCTGCAATGAGTCTTGCAGGTGGTGCTGACGCTCTCTTGCATTTGTGAGCCCTGAGACTGGGGCCACTTGAAATTTCTGGGATCACCGGTTCTGGCTTTAACAATCACACAAAAGAATTTCTGCTCGAGAGAAATCAGATCTATACAATGAAAGTTACTGGCGAACCATCAGAAAATACGTCATCAGTGAGACTAGAAAAAGGTTACATGAAACCACAAAGACATGGTTTCTCCAAGCCAGGTTAGAGAAAAAGAATTTGGTTAGCTGTGATATTTGAAAACCAAAGTGGCCACTTGTCCCAATGTCTGTTAGAGATTGTGCAAGAGGAAACAAAAACTAGCTCTGAATTGGGCTCAGTGAGGAAAACACAAAAGGCAACCCTAACTGGTAAGGCAATGCAGAACACACCACTGAATGGGAAATTCAGCCTTTGCTTCTAAAAGGAGAGACCTGGAAGGCAAGCCCAGAAAACTAAAAGCTAAGGGGGATGCAAGCATTCTGGACAATACCCTCACATAGAAAAGGAATAGAAAAAAGCACTTCCACAAAGATAGATCCACACACAAAGTGGCCCTTATAGACTCAGACCTGGAAGGAGCTTCAGACATGAGTGTGAACCAGAAAGTGCTGCTGTAGGAAAGCAATGAAGACCAGCCTCTAAAATGGCAGCTGCACATCGCAGGTGCCTGACACTTCATTCTCTTCCAGCACTGTTTAGCTTATGATTTCACCAAGAGCAGAACTGGGAGATGCCCAATACTACAACTGTGCTTCAAGAAATAAAACAACGAATGATGAAATGCACATATTGTAGCCAGCCAGGAGCAATGAACTGACATGAAATAACAACCCTTTGATGAAACTTATCAATGGCCCAGTCAAGGTGGTGCAGGTGGTAGAGTGTTCCTATGCAATCTGAAGCCACATGGGAAGATCCAGGGTTTGGATCCTGGGTCGACCTGAATAGGTTGTATGCGCTTTCAGGCACACATGCAATCCTGGCTGGCTGGAAGACTGGTGGGCAGGTGGGGGTGGGGGGGTGCAGTGCTGTAGTATAACAAAACTCCACCAAGTGACTCTGTCTCTGTCTCTTTATCTCTTATGAAAGAAGCTTAAAAAAACTTATCATTATAATTGTGAGGAGACAAAAGGTAAACACATTGGAAATACGTCAGGAGGAATTATACATACTGCATTATAAAAAGCAGTTAATGGGATAAGAGCAATGAAGAGAATGAAGAACAGGAAGAGAAAGCTGAGGAAAACCATCTGTAAATGTCAAGGCTCTGGAAGAGAGATCAGCTTCAGGATCAGAAGACTCAAACGGGACCCTTCAATCCTCAAGAAGAAATGGCTGCCAGAACAGTTAGTCGCTTCGCTGCTAAGGACATTATTGTGTTGCCATACAAACCTCTACCATAGATTAATTAATAGAAAAGAAAAATCTGCCTTTGAAATTGCACTGACTTTAATATAATAGCTTGTCTTTTTTGGCTACAATGCAATATACCATAGTAACTTAATCTAATTTACTGTATTTTGTTTCACAAACATTTATTTTACACTGAAGCACTTTTACGAAGAAAATTACTAAAAGTGACTCATTTTGATACAGGACTACATTAAATGTTTATATGGAAAGCTGTGACTCTTCTGGTGACTAAGAATCATTGATGTGCTTCAACATGTTATGACCTGCAACTACTGCATCCCTTTTAAGATGATCCAGACTAAGCTCATTACTCTCACCTTCCTTTCTAGTTATTTTCATACTTAGGGAATATAGAACAACATTCTGAGGGACAGAAAATGACCTAATATACTAATGAATAATTCAGAACCTAATAAAATCAATGGTTTCTTTAACAGGCAATTAAAGATTGGTTATTTTTTGCCTCCCAAAAAAATGGATGCCTGCAACCAACCATCCCTAAAGAAGAATACTAATGCAACTTTGGGCGATTCGGTCCATAGATAGTTACATCTTTACATGTTTTTCATTGTGAGTAACAGTCTTTCAACAGATGGCCTTTGAGTTCAAGGGCCCTATTATTTACTAATTGTGATTTGGGCCAAAAGTACCTGGAAAATTTTAACTGAACTTCTCATACATCTCATGCCTCTAGTTTGCTGAGCATTATTTACTACTTAACATAGAAATTCCACATTAACCACTTCGTGCATATTTTATCCTTAGATTTTGAAATCTTGCGATCTTAGAAATAAAAACTGAAGACAGACTTTAAGATATTGGCTTTTACATTATTACTGGACTCTGAATTAGAAAAAGAAATGTGTATTACATGTTGACATAATATTTTGAGTGCATTGGGCTAAAGAAGATATTATTAAGTTATAAATATAATAACTGGGAATTTAGTATGGAATCTAATTTGATATATGGCTAACTTCTGAAACTTTTACAAATAATTAAAGTACTAATTTAGTATAGGGTTGTGTTTGGTTATTTGGCCTTGATATCCAAAGGTATGACACATAATTTTGGTCCAAATGAAAAAAAAAAAAGAATAACAAAAGTTCTGCCCAACCACAAGCCAATCATAAATCAATAAGTAATAAATGAAGAGATCTTGTTATCACACGTTCTTGAGCCCAATTGCTGATGCCCATTTGGATGCCCTGCCCCTCAGGCTGTTTCCAGTATTACAGGTTATCACAAAATACCCAGCTGGAAGTCCTCTCTCACCACTGGGGACAGGGGGACACACTAGATTTGCCCTCTCAGGGCACTGATGATTGGGGAAATTCTCCACCCTGGGTTTCATTGTACATATTGTGATCCTGCAATGGGTCAGAATCCACAAAATACAATTCCCCTGCATGGATATCTGAAAAGTTAGCCTGAAACTCCTTAGGATCGAAGGAAACCCACACAGTATACCTGTAGTCGATGGTACGTATGGAATAGCCCATGATCTTTATGTCTTTCAAACTCGGCTTGTCAGAATCCCACTGGGGGGAGTCTGCAGGCCGGGGGTACTGGCTATAGGCAATCAACTCACGGGGGTTACTGTAGAGATCTGGGCCCTCTTCCAAGTCACGGAACCAAAAATACTTCAGAAGGTTCCGGCCTTCTCTGCAAAGTTCCATGTGAAATGAAGGTCTGGGGCAGCGAGGCGGAACTTGCAGCCCAGCAAGCGCAGCAAGTGTAGGGAAGAGAGACACCAGTTCCACCAGGTCCGTGGCTCTCCTGCCTGAAACAGGAAGTGACACAAAGCTTTGATTATACCACAGAAGCTGCTATAGTCTGGCAGTTGAGTAAAGGAACCTGTCTGGGCTCCATGGTGGATTTTTGCTTTGTTTTGCTTTCTCATTCACATTTATTTTTAGCCAAGAAGTTCAGCAACAACATAATTTCAGAACCCCACCCTAATAATTCCTCTTCAACCAAATAGTAGGATGAAAAATTAAGGTGCTGCCAGCCTGTTAGCACTTTCAAAAATGGCTTGAAGTCTGGAGCCATCAGAGTAAAATTGACTCAGGTAAAGATTGTCAATTAAGGCTATAACTTCTGGATAAAAGTCTGTTGAGGGGACCAGAAGATGGTGTAATGGTTACACTGCTGGACTCCCACACAGTCAACTATGGTTTGAGTCCCAGACTACAGGCTTAAAACCGACACTGGGCGCATGTGCATGCGTGCCCAAAATCTCAAGAGGAGAATGGAGGAGAAAGGATAGTGGCATAGCCACCCTTGGGGGTGATTTCTTGTTTTCTGTCTCTCTGTCTCTCTCTGTCTTTCTGGTGAGCACATGCACTCTATAGGAAAAAATCTCTCTTAAAATAAATAAATAAATAAAAGTCTGTTGAGGAACAAATATTCCAAATCTCATAGTGTCACCCCAAAAATTACTCCTTTCTGGATGCCTATGTTTGATCCATCTTTTCTTTTTATTATGACGATATCCACATAACTTAAAATGTACCACCTTTACCAGTTTTTAGTGCACAGTTCAGTGACATTAAGCCACTCACACTTTTGTGCCACCATCACCATCATCCAACTCCACAATTCTTTTCATTTAACACAGCTGAAAGCCTCTCCCACTGAACAAGAGCTCCCCTTTTCTCCCACCCTCCAGTAATGGGAACCCACCATTCCACTTCCTGTCTCTATAAACTGGACTCTTCTGCACACTTGACATGAGTGGGATATGGTATTTGCCTTTTTGTGTCTGACATATATCACTTAGCAATTGTCCTTGAGGCTGATCTATGCTATAGCATGTGTCAGAATTATCTGCATCATTTACAAATTGTTTTCCTTTACTCATGATATAACATGTGCACACGAGAGAGAGAGAGAGAGATGGAGAAAGAGAGGGAGAAAAAAGAGGAGAAGTCTCTACAGGGTCTAGTCATGCCACAACCTCCTTCCTCTAGTCCTGCAGCCCATCAGACCTTGGGCATTCAAGTGTGTGCCTGGTGTGTTTCAGGCCAACTGGACTGGGGATTCAAATTGCAGTTACTATGTGGGAGCTGGCTTCTCTTGACCTCTGTATTACTGCTGTGCCAAGGAGCTGGCCCCCTCCTTCTCTTTAAGGTTTAATAATATTCCATTGTAACTATATGTATATCCCACAGTTCGTTTACTCATTCATCTGTCAGGGCCACTTGGGCTGCTTCAACCTTTTGGCTATTGTGAATAATGTTGCTATGGACATTCATGTTCATGCTTTGTTTGAATACTTGCTTTCAGTTCTGTGGGATATATACCTAGGAGTAGAACTGTTGGGCCATGTCGTAATTCCGTGTTTAACTTTTTGAGGAACTGTCATATTGGTCTCCACAGTGGCTGTACCATTTTACCAATGCACAACTGTTTCAATTTCTCCACATCTTTACCAACACTTGTTTTCTGTTGTGTGTGTTTCTTTGTTGGTTTATATTTATCTTAATGGGCATGAAGTGGTATCTCATTGTCTTTCATCCACTTTTTTTTTTTTTGAGAGATTTTCACTGTAGGGCGCGTGCGCTGGCCAGACAGACAGAGAGAGACAGAGAGACAGAAAGCAAGAAATCACCCCCCAGGGGGGATGGTCATGCCGCACTCCCTTCTTCTCCATTCTCCTCTCAGGATCTTGGGCACGCATGCACACGTGCCCAGCATTGAGGTTTTTTTGGTTTGTTTTTTTTTCCCAGCGTGAGTTTTAAGCCACTGGGTCCGGGACACGAACCGCGGTCGACTACATGGGAGTCCAGCGACACAGCCATTATGCTAACTGCTGGTTCCCCCCAGCATTGAGTTTTAAGCCACCGGATCCGGAACACGAACCGTGGTCGACTACGTGGGAGTCCAACGACATAGCCATTACGCTAACTGCTGGTCCCCACTTTTAAAGTCTAAATCCTGAACTTTATATTGATTCTTTTTAAAACTGGTCTTAGTTTGTACTATCATTCCAGCCCTTCTGGATCCTTAATAACTTGCTTTATAATGCCTAATCTCATTTTTTAGACATCTAATATGTGAATAAAATAAAAAGAGAGTTGAAAATGAAAGATACCTTTACAGGACAGTAGGTAGCATGGTAGTTGGGACACTGTACTCCCAAATGGCCAACCATGATTTGAGTATCAGACCTGGAGCCTTGCTTTCTCACTTTCTCACTCTTTCTGTGTCTCTCTGTCGAGCACACATGCCCTAAAGAAAATTTTAAAATAATAATAAATAAAATTAAATAAATGATTCTTAAAAAAAAAAAAGATGATACCTTTAAAATAGCAACGTCTGGCTGGTACAATCACCTTAACCAAGTGCTCAAACTTCACAGGTTACTGGGAAGGGCTCCCTGCTCTGATGCAATCCAACAGTAGGACACAGCATCATGTGTAACACCCTGGATCTAGCCATGAGGGTGCAATCAGACAAATTCAGAGCATGGAAAACCACACACAACTGGCCTGGATACTTACAAAAAGAGGAGATCAGGGGGACCAGCAGTTAGCGTAATGGCTATGTCGCTGGACTCCCAAGTAGTTGACCGCGGTTCGAGTCCTGGACCTGGTGG